ATTGGGGAGGCTCATAGCGTCTGCCGTGGCCCAGTCCGTAGTTGTGTGTCACGCTAGACTTGGGGTGCAGAGTACGGGCTCTGTCTAATCACAAGGTAACACAGACCAGCGGCGGTCTGTTACGGGCACCAAGAGAAGCGAGGCTAAGTCAGGCGACATCACAAGCGAGAGGGTATCAAAAATAGACAATGATCCATCATAGGTTACATGGCTCAAAGACGGCCATGGGCCTCAGAGACGACCTGATTGCAGGACAGGATTCACGGCTAGATAAGCACAGGCCAGGGAAAGTAATGACGACGGTGACACCAACGAGCACACATGGGTCCCAGGAGCGCGAGGCGGGCCGCGGCGCAGCTGGCGGGCCGCCGGCGGCGCGTCGCCGGCGGCCGGGGCGGATTTCGGCCGGTGTGACCGGCGTCGCGGGGGGGTGGTCCGCTCGATACCTGACCGACGCGTGACCGTCATCGTTATGAGACGCGGGTCGACCGAGGCGGCGCCGCCGCCGGCCGGACGGCGAGAGAAACGGGTCAGAGGGAGGGCTGCAGCGGGAGAACTGGGCCAAAGGGGAGGGGGGGGGGGGGGGCTACGGTGGATAGAGAGAAGGGTCCGGGGAGAGTGTCGGACCAGGAGAGAGACAGGCTAAAGGACAGAGTGGGAGCGAGGAGGAAACGGCCCGGAGGACAGCATGAGAGGAGATGGGAGAACACGGGTTTCAGTCGACCTGTGATTGGTTCCACGTAAAAATTTGCTCGGCTGACTCAAGAGAATTGTATTCCCATCCGGATTCACTGCAGGAGAATTGCTTCGGAGAAACAGCGCGACAGACAGTCCATGATATGCATGACAACACTGACGGGCTCATCTTTGGTAGCTCCTTGCCACTCTGCCAACTCTGCCACTGCCCACACCACTGCGTCATCAAGGCCACCTGTCAACACCTTTTTGTCTCTGCCCAGCTCTGCGGGCGCCGCACCGTCCCTGTGGTGGGCCGGGTGGCGGCCCAAGTCGGCTCGCCGACCAGTTTGCCGTCGCAGCGCTGGGCTGGGTGGCGGCCCAGGCCAACTCGCCGACCAGTTTACCGTCGCAGCGTTGGGCCGGGTGGCGGCCTAGGTCGGCTCGCCGACCAGTTTGCCGTCGTAGCGCTGGGCTGGGTGGCGGTCCAGGCCAACTCGCCGACCAGTTTATCGTCGCAGTGTTGGGCCGGGCGGCGGCCCAGGTCGGCTCGCGGACCAATTTGCCGTCGCAGCGCTGGCCCGGGTGGTGGCCCAGGTCTGCTCGCGGATCAGCGCGCCGTCGCAGCGCTGAGCCCCGTGAGCCCCGCTAAACGCCGCCGGCAGTATCCGAAAGCTGGACGGGCATTGATCCGACCATTTGTGTTTGGAATCAGTCCGGGGCGGAGGGTCGGCGCCTCTAGTCGCCGCAGCGATGGCCGCTTCCCGGTAACGGCGGCAGTCAGCGACACCTGCCAGCTGCTCACGTATGCCCGACGGACGGCCGCCGGAGACGGCTGGCGGCTGCGGAAGGCCACGGATGGGGCGTGGAGCTGCCTGGAGAGGAAAGGCGACTGGGGAGCGGAGGTGGACAGAATAGGCGGCTAGGGAAGGACAGAGGCTGGAGAGAAAAGGTGGAGAGAGTAGAGCGTCCGCAAAGGGACAATGGCTGGGAGGATTAAGCGGGGAGAGAGCGCGGCTGGTGAGGGAAGGTGGAGAGAGTACGCGGCTGAAGAGGAACAGCAGCTGGAGGGGGAGGGCGGGGAGAGGAAGCGGTTGCAAAGGGACGATGGCTGGGAGGATTAAGTGGGGAGAGAGCGCGGCTGGACAGGGAAGGTGGAGAGAGTACGCGGCTGTAAGGGGACGGT